TTTTCACTGGAGGAAGAGTTATTATGGATTATGGATATTATATCCAGATGTTAACTGATGGACTGGAGTGCTGTGGATTATTGTGATGTTTTTATCAGCTGTTTGGACTCTCATTCTGACGGCACCCATTCACTGCAGAGCATCCATTGCTGAGACACTAATGCAATGCTACATTTCTACAAATCTGATGAAGACACAAACTCATCCTAATCTTGGATGTCCTTAGCGGATATTTTTAGCAAATGTTCATTTTTGGATGAGCTATTATTTTAAACTGGTGTACAATAATGTATTTTAACCTTAAAGTAATTAAATTGTAACGCACAAGCATTTAATTTTCAGTAGACTTCAGGAACTCCATGTATGAATGAATTGCCACTCTCATCTCTCCTCTTTACTGTATTTGTGTCTCAGGCCATTCTGTCGGCACACACGCTCACACCTGCTGCTTCAGCACGACCTCACGCTCCCAGCAGCCCTCTGAGCCAGCCGTTCAGACGCACCTTCAACCAGACGGGCCGCGCCGGGCTCCTCACGCTCGTGCCCAAACCTCCCAGCAGCGCGCCGAGAGACGGACGCGTGCGCAAGACCGTCACACACGCTCTCCACAAGTAAGATCCAGTGTGTGTGCATACTGCAGTCTGTTTGACTTTCTGAAGTTGGGTGTACATCATTAGCAGGTGTAAGTGTGGATTGAAGTTTTGATATTTGCAATACTGGCTTTATATAGAGAGGATCCATCCTCACATAAAAATATCAATGTCAATTAAAGCAATAAGCCCCGTGAAGCCGTGGTTTACAGTGAATTTATAACAGCTAAGGGGGTTTTATAACTCCGCTTCGCGTCGTGCCTAACAACGCCACTTAGCTGTTATAAATTCACTGTAAACCACGGCTTCACGGGGCTTATTGCTTTAATTGACATTGATATTTTTATGTGAGGATGGATCCTCTCTATATAAAGCCAGTATTGCAAATATCAAAACCCCCTTAGCTGTTGTAAATTCACTGTAAACCACGGCTTCACGGGGCTTCTTGCTTTTATAAAACGGTTATTCCATATACGTAGTAAGGTTTCACAAAATAAAACAGAGCAAATAAAGTGTAATGATATTAATAAAAACAGTATTCTTCCACCAAACAATGTAGTTCCTCAGAAACAGTTGTGGTTGCAACAAAGTGATTGCCGAGCAACACACAAACGTAAACAAAGGTGTATGTCTGTAGAGTAATTTACAACAGCTTCAAACGCGGCTCAACCAATCAGCATCAAGGACCGGAACTCTCCGTTTTATAATAGTAATTTTATTATGAAAATGTATGCATAAAATAAGCTTTGAGGTTAAAACATTAACAGACATCTTACTCAAAAATAAGTAATGACAGGGATATGGAAACATAGTTTTGTAGTTATTTCTAATAAAGGCAAATTTATTGTTTTAGGTTTAATGGGTTAAATTAAAAGTTGTTTTAAGGTTGATCATTTTGTAATTGTTAAAAATTGATTAAAAAACTGACAAATTTGCAGTTTGTCTGTTAAATGTTAAATGATGGCTTTCAAATATATATGCAGTGCCTTGCGAAAGTATTCATACCCCTTCATTTTTTTTACATTTTGTTATGTTGCTGCCTTATGATAAACTTCTTTAAATTACTTTTTTTCCACATCAATCTACACTCCATACACCATACTGACAAAGCAAAAACAGAATTGTCACAACTTCGTAAGTTTCTCGGAGTCTGAGGGTCCTTTAGCTGCTTTTTTGTAAATTCCAAGTGTGTTTTCATGTGTCTTCACTGAAGAGAGGATTGAGTTTGGCCACACCGCCATAAAGCCCAGATCGGTAGAGTGTTGCAGTCCTTCTGTAGATTTCTCCTATCTGCACATATGATCATGGAGCTCAACTAGAGTGACCATCATGTTCTTGGTCATCACACTAACCAAAGCCCTTCTCCATCAGTT